TTAATCAAGTTTCTTTTCAGTTGGATTTTTTAGAGACTTTAATATGTGCAATTATGAATCTTCAGAGAAAATCTCTGAAGATTTTGTATGTATGTCTATGTTAAATATGTTGAGCATGTGTTTCAGTGTGTGTATGTATGGATTCGCATTTTCTAAACTTATTTTAGCAGTTCTTTTCTTCACAAAGCCAGGCTTTCAAACATTGCTGCAGATTCTTCTTTTCCAAGTCAGAAGCTCAGTATCAATTCACTTCTTTTCTCTTTGTATTCGTTCTGTAATGGCTCCTAATCTCCCTCGGCCTGATGGATGCCACTGTGGACTCCAGCAAAGGTTACGTGCTCAGAAAAGCAAAATAGAAATGCCTTGGAATGATTTTCAAAATATTATGTTCAACACAATACCCTAGTTATTTTTATTCTGCTATCAGAGATACTTCATCTTTGCTTGAGGTAGAAAGGCTGATAGCTACTGTGGGAAGTTTTATGAAGTTGCAAAAATGTCTTAAGGTTTCTATGCTATTTCTTTAAACATAAAATGAGCATAATGATGCCTGAATTATGTCTTTATTCAAGAAGTTGTCTGTATGTGTAGAGGTTAAGGTGGGGGAAGATTCTTCACAATAACGCATTTGAAAGTGCTTTGAAAAAAAACCAATATTCAAAGGTACAGTGTAACGATGGATCTTCAGTTAACAGTGGCTCCTCTACACTTTAGCTTTTCGTTTTCCGATTTTTCAGACTTGCTACTCGTAGAACTATTCTATAACAAAGGCATAAAACTATTAAGAAATACTAAAAGGAAAATAAAGGTATTGTCCTTTGATACAGATAACCATCTCCTGACTTACTTGGTCTGTAAATAGATGCTTTCCTAAGACGGATTTCTTGAAGGTATGTGCCCTGCAACCTAAAATTTACCAACCTTTACAAACCGAGTCTGTACTATAGATCCATCGATCGGGCAATGAGGGAGAACTTCAGTGAATTTGGGGTCTAACGTGTATTAATGGCAGGGGCTGTTGAGTGCATAGCCGTATTATGCCAATATTGTTCTATGACCACTCACGGTGCAGAAAGATGAGAAGGTCGATTGAGTTGCTCATGCTAACACATCTTCTGTCCTCTCTTGTCCCGTGCCGCCCTACACAGAGAGTGCAGCATCCACACGAGTGCCCCTCCTGCGGAGGCTTCGGCTTCCTCCCCTGCTCTGTGTGCCACGGGAGCAAGATGTCCGTGTTCCGAAACTGCTTTACAGACTCTTTCAAAGCCCTGAAGTGCACAGCCTGCAATGAGAACGGTCTTCAGCGTTGTAAGAACTGCACCGGTTAGTCGGAGCTTCTACCCAGGAAAAGCCTTATTTTATTAACAAAAGGTAATAATTTGGTTTATACTTTTTTTAAAAAAAATGGTCATGTTTATGGATTAATCAATAAACTTTGTTTATTATAATCGCCTTTGTTTCGAATTTTTTCTGTGACCCTTTTCATTGACTTATTAAATAACTGTTTATTTAACAAGTACTATGTGCCAAGCCTCATGCCAGATCCTGGTTTCTCATTGGAATTGGTGGAGTACCCAATACCATTTCAAGATACCCAAAGTCTGATTCCCTAAATCAGACTTGATTTTTCTAAAGAAAAGAATCGAATCTATCCAGTGGTACCGACTGCAGTGTCACCCTGTTGTCTAAGATGAGTTAACACAGCTCCCTAGAAGCATAACCCCTGCATTTCTAATGCTCAGTGTACTGGACCAGAGACTCAATTACTGCAGAAGACATGTGACCCCGTGTGCGGCTTCCTCGCTTAGAAAGAGACAGTCTCGCGGAGCATGAGGTTACAGCAGACCTTTGCTTTACTGGGAATTGTTGCAGTGGATTCCAATGCACAAGCATTCTCTTTCAGAAGATCGCTGACCTCTCTGGGAATTCTTTGACGGGCTGTGGTCATTCTAGTCAATCAAGAGAAAATCTTTTTTCGACTGTGGGGAAGTATCTATGTTTCAAAGCACCGTTCCTTCAGGAAAAGAATGAGCATTCGTTCTGATATAAACTTTTGTCCCGGTCCTATTCTGAACGTTTTAGAACTCTTTCATTAAACCTAACGCAGAACAGATTGGAAAATTTAAAATGTGTGATTTGGTGGCAAGGTGACTTTGAACTGGAATACAGCCTTTGTAGAAGAATGCAAGATGTCCTAAAAGCATTGCTTATATGTAATAAAACTGAGCTTAATCTTAATGTTAATCAATATCTAGAAAATCCATATCGATTCTTTGCAGGGCACACGCCTCACTTAGCATTCTGTGCCCCGAAGTTATCTTCCTTCTTTATATTTTCTATGGTCTTAATCCTCTTCTCTCCACCACCTTGTCAGATAAATGTCAATATAAATGTTCTCTGAGTACCCCAGATAGAGGTATACAGAGCAGTTAGAAAGCAAAATGTTTGTGTGATCTAGAAAATGGTGCTATGGTGCAGTGCCGATTTATTGCAATAAATAAAAGTTAATACTAGTGGAGGACTGTCATCTTTTACCTTTTTTTCTTATGAATTGTGGGTTCCTTTGATCTCTATTTTGTGCATTCCTTTGCATTTGAGGAATGAATCCATTGTGAAGCTTAAAGACCCTAGAAGGAGCATTAGTGCAAGATCTAAGATGTTGTTTCCTGGAAGACAGGATGCCACTTTGGTGCCCTGAGTTTACATGTATACCTTGACCTTTGAACTTCTCTTTCTAGTGACCTGTCTGCTGTAGACTTTACCTGGAGACAGACTTGTCAATGTGTTTCTTCCACACTTTTGTATTCCCACTAGGAAACATCACAGCACGCTTTGCTCTTAGGAAAGAGAAATATAACTGTTTTTCAAAACATTCTTCCCTAAGGTAAAAGTCTGTGCCGTTTTCATTTCTTCAGCAGTTACTACACGTCCTTGTGCCTTTGCGAATGTGGGAACAGCTACCGGTGGCTGTATTCCCTTTCCTCGCACGTCCTCTTCTCGTTTTCTTCTTCCATGTTTGCAGAAATAGATACTGGGGAAGATTTTTGAGTCTACTTATGAATTAGAAATACTTTCGTCTCTGAATCAAATATTTGAATTTATTAGTAATGTCATGGTGACAAATAATTAGAGAGAACTCCCTGAGTTTCTGAAATCAAGATTAGCCATGTGACACCCAGTCAAGAAACACATCAGGCGTTACGAGGGATCCAAAGATATGACATGGTTTTGCCCCTACCATAATTGGGGAGATAAGACATGTGATGGGTAACCAGAACACAAACTGTCTCAAGTGGATTATTGATGATCTGGTATCTTGCTAGGGACCCTAAATATTACAGGGTGCTCAAAGAAGCAGAATATATGAACATAAGGAACTTTCTTTTCTTGGTGGACTTATCTTGAAGCAGTGTCTTTGACAATAGCTAGAATTTCTATAGCAAAGATCCAGGTGGAAAGTCAGCCCAGCTGTGGAATCTGGCAGATGGAAAGCAAAGTGCGTAACACAAAGTGCTTAGCCTGGCAGATGGCGAGCATCATTGCATGCTTTTAATTATCCCCAAAATGACGGTGATGGGTCGTGTATCACTGTGGTTAGGCTACGGATTCTGACTATCTGGTTTTGAATCCCAGTTTTGCCATTTTCTAGCTGTGTGACTTTAGGCAAATTATTTATACTTTCAACTCTCCTATTTGTTAAATGGAAATAACCTAATGAATAGGGTTGTTTGAATGATTAAGTTAATTTATATACTGTATTTTTTTTCAGTACTTGCCATATAGGTGGTGAATGATTATGTTTTCCAATTGTATCTCTGAGTGATTTGTAGGTAGTTAGCTTTTTGGAAAGCTGATTTGTAAAATTACTTTGTACTTGACCATTTTTTGCAGCTCGTATTACTAATGCTAAAAATATTATTCTAAAATACCTAAAATAGATATTTAATATCTAAAAATATGTTGAATTTTCTGGATACACATTTATGTAATTGGATGTTGAAAATGTTGATTGATTGATAAGCTCATAGAATCTTCTGAATAGACTATTACCTTCTTGCTGTCATCAATATAGGTTGAGTATCCCTTATCTGAAATGCTTGGGACTAGAAGTGTTTTGAATTTGAATTTCAGATTTTTTTTTTATTTTGGAATATTTGCACATACATAATAGATATCTTGGGGATGGGACTCAAGGCTAAACACTGAATTAATTTACAGTTCATATATACCTTATACACATAGGCCGAAGCTAATTTTATACGATATTTTTAATAATTTTGTGCATGAAACAAAAACTTTGACTGCATTTTAACTGTGGCCAGTCCTATGAGGTCAGGCATGGAATTCTCCATTTGTGGCATCATGTTGGTGCTCATTTTTATTTAAATGAAATAGAAAAATCTTGAAAACATGGAAATAGAATGCCATTACTTTGTGCTTCTTCTGATACCTGCTTATGCTTATTAAAGAGAAGTGACATAGGAGTTAGCTGTTACTTGGAAGATTATATTAGTGTTGATGTCTGACCTGGTGAAACTAGATAACTTAAAAAGAGGTTTTAAATTATTCAGTCATTTTTATGGGCTAAATTATTGCAGGGGTAATGATCCAATGAAGAACTATGAAGGAGAAATTCACATGTGTAAATTTCATTCCCCGCCATATAATTTCCCTGATTGCATTTGTCTAAAATTACTGCTAATAATTATTCCAATTCTCTCTTGTATAGGAAGTCTTAGCACAAAGGTTGCTAGTATTTCTAGATTTTTATATGGGGTGTCTGTGGGGAGGGCTTCAGAATAGATTATGAGCTGAAACATGGACTGAAAGACTCAACATTCTGAGGTCTGAACAAAACTCATGTTACTAGGCGATTTTGCCAGCGAAGTTGATGGTCAGGTTTTAGGAAGATGTCTTTCTCTGATATCTAATGCAGGCGTACGCTTTCTTTCCAAATTCTTATTGCTGCTTCTCTGCAGCTCGAGGGGGATGACACACTAACTTTTCTTTAAAGGACTCTCAGTTTTATTGAACTTTTCCTGAGCAGGTTAACAGCCTCCTGAGATTACCCTTCATTGGTCTTGTGTGTTTGTTCTTTCCTCTCCTCTGAAGATGAGTTCAGAGCATGGGAACAGAAACTTTACCTTTTCCTTCATGTTTTCTCCCTCCTCAAGGTGTTTTCTTAAGGAAAGCCAGGTGATGAACTAGAGTGGCCGCAAAAAATGTGCTGTTTAATAATATTTAGAAAATAGGTCCCTCATGGTTTGAAAAATAAACGTTTCTAAAAAGTCAAAATCTGAATTTTTGAAAAGTGAGAATGCCTTAGAATTTGTAATATAATGTCTCCATGGAGTTACTGAAAAAAGTGATTAAAATAAAAAATGTAATTAGGTTCATAATTTTTTCCAAATTTGTGAATAGTGAGGTTAAACAACACATTGAAAATTAAATTTAACTGAAATTAACAGAGTCGGTTTTTGTTTTTCAGTCTTACTGACACTTTTAAAACTCTTGCCAACATAGCAGATCTGGGTGAAATGCAGTGACATTTTTCATGGTCTAAAAGAGGGTTATGAGTGTTGGTAAAATACGCGCTATTCCATTTTACTGCTTGACACACAACATCCTGGAAGTCTGTTTTGTTTTAATGTAGACGTTGTTCTAGAATAAGAAAACAAGTTAAGAAAGTTACTGCCACTTGGAAAACAAATTTCCACTTGAAACTACCGTCGGGCTGTAACAAAAAAACACAGCAAACCGCTATGTGTGAAATTCTGCTGAAAGATTTTCACAGAGGAAGACTTTGATAATTATGCATCTACCTTCATCAATATCTTCAAATTCATGATGAATTTTATCTCATCACTTTCACAAATTCTGGCCAAGGGAATAAAATAAACTATCAATGGATATGTTTATTGTAATATGTGAAATTCATAACAGAATCCACTGCCTTTGGTTTCAAAGTGAAAAAGGAAGTTTCGACAGCTGGGTTTCAAAGACCGTGTAAATTCGAGCTAGAGGGGCCCCTGAAATGTGAATGAAAGACTTACTGCCTTTGGCGTGCTTGTTTGGAGCTCTTCGCTAGCTGTGCTCTCCAAAGCTATTCATCTCTTACTGAATTTCCTGCAAACATAGAGACTTCTGCCCCACTGCACAGCCCACCTAATGCTTTATTCATTTGATTTGATTTATTTATACTGTGCTCATTTCTCCCGGTGTTCTGATGTGAACATAGTACGTATTCAATATCCAAAGGCAAATGCAGCAGCCAAAACTGGTTTTAATGAAAGCAAATACTTACAAGGAAAGTGTGGGAAGATGAGTCATGTTTTGTACTCTCAAACTCCCATCAGCAGGGGGCAATGAGGATTTCGGAGGAGTTCCAAAGGAGTTCCAAAAGTAAAAATACTTTTGCCTCTGAAACTTCTGGAGAACCCAATTGGGT